ACCTTGATAAACAGAATTTGTATTATACAAAAATGAAAATAGAAGACAAAAAGAACAAAAGGTACAACAAGCACCCACATACAAAAAAAATATAAAAAATAAATGATACAATAAAATAAGACCTCCACAGATATGAAGTGACACTTTCCCATAGTGCCACAGATATGAACACTATATTGAATAACATATCATGGAGATATAGGATCACAGTCATTTATAACTAGTCCTCAGCTTCATTTGTTACATTTAGATTTTCTACAATGTCTTTGTATGATCCCCACATTTGTTTCAAATATTGCTAGCTTTCCTTTTCTAAAACATGTAACTCTTTCACGGGGAAATGCTATCAGCATTTTATTTTACCCAAAGCACCAGCTTGAACTTTTTTTCCAATTAAATTGCAATTGTTCTCTTTGCTTGTAATAGACACATATCTATCAGTACTTTTTCATTCTTTGTAAACGCATGTTTTCCAGGATGGATTCCTAAATAAAAAAGTGTATATCCTTAGATATAGTGGTCTCTACTGTTCCTTTAACCTCAGGACATCCCCACACACAGTGGAACAATGTCCCTTTAGCACCTAGTTCATACATCAGGTACATTTACTCCTTTAGCACCTAGTTCATACATCAGGTACATTTACTCCTTTAGCACCTAGTTCATACATCAGTACATTTACTCCCTTTAGCACCTAGTTCATACATCAGGTACATTTACTCCTTTAGCACCTAGTTCATACATCAGGTACATTTACTCCTTTAGCACCTAGTACATACATCAGTACATTTACTCCTTTAGCACCTAGTTCATACATCAGGTACATTTACTCCCTTTAGCACCTAGTTCATACATCAGGTACATTTACTCCCTTTAGCACCTAGTTCATACATCAGTACATTTACTCCTTTAGCACCTAGTTCATACATCAGGTACATTTACTCCTTTAGCACCTAGTTCATACATCAGGTACATTTACTCCTTTAGCACCTAGTTCATACATCAGTACATTTACTCCCTTTAGCACCTAGTTCATACATCAGTACATTTACTCCCTTTAGCACCTAGTTCATACATCAGGTACATTTACTCCCTTTAGCACCTAGTTCATACATCAGGTACATTTACTCCTTTAGCACCTAGTTCATACATCAGTACATTTACTCCTTTAGCACCTAGTTCATACATCAGTACATTTACTCCCTTTAGCACCTAGTTCATACATCAGTACATTTACTCCCTTTAGCACCTAGTTCATACATCAGGTACATTTACTCCCTTTAGCACCTAGTTCATACATCAGGTACATTTACTCCTTTAGCACCTAGTTCATACATCAGGTACATTTACTCCTTTAGCACCTAGTACATACATCAGGTACATTTCCATTATAACTATTCAATTTTTCTGATGTCTCATTCGTTCTCAGGAGCCACTTGGATTGTAGGAGACTGTTGCACTAATATGTGTTTTTGCTGATTCCCAATCCTCTTTTACAATATTTGTTTCTTAATCCTCATTCCATGCCTTCAATCTTAAATCAGAATTGTCAGTTGAATTCAGATATTCTGCTCAAACTATTTTACTTTTCTGAGGTTTAGTTAAACTATCTTGATTAGATCTGCTGAAGCCTCTAAGCTGAAGAAATTTTAAAATACTATGTTTTATGTATTTTTAATAAAGAAATTTAACGTACGCTTAATTTAGATACCTATGTATATAAAGTGATCCATTACTTTAAAAGTTATAGCTTGTGAATTGAATTTTTTAGATTCTCTCTCATTAAGCAATAGAAGAGATGTTGATTTATTAATTGTATAACCCTATGTTTTACTAAAAGCACTAATCAACTCTATAATAATTGGGACTGTCTTACTCATGTGAAACAAACAGAAGGACATTGTCTGCGTAGAGAGCAACACTGTGTTCAGTGTTGCGAAAAAATATTCCCTGTATTACGGTGTTTTCTCTTAAACAAGGAAGTCGGCAACCTGCGGCTCCGGAGGCGCATGCGTCTTTTTCCTTCTGTAGAAGGAAAAACGGCGTGTGAGCATCATAGACTGTGCGCATGGATCCCAAAGCTAAAAAGAGAAGAGTCGATAATAAGACTGGACTAAGAATGAAAATTAACATTTGCTTTCAGTTAGTTCTGGGCAATAAATCGAATTTAGGCAATTAATCGGCTTATGAAAAAAATCAAATTTGTGAAAAAGGTGAAAATCGTGAAATCGAAGGAGGATATCGTGAGAGTTCTAGCGGCACATGAATTTTATTTGCAATATCAGCACAGTCTGTACAAGACTTTTGTAATGTGTATTTGGGGAAACAAATAAAAAAAATTTTTGAAACTTTTATTGAGCGGAAAGATTAAAAAAGATTTTTTAGGGCAAAGTCTGTCTTTGGTGACTTTAACAAAAATCGATTTAAAATCGAAATTGTCCAAAGCAAGAAATAAAATCGAGATTTCACTTTTTTGCCATATCGCCCAGCCCTACTTTCAGTCAATGAGGAAGGACTGCTTCATGTTTGCGATGTAATGAGAAGTTTCGATGAGATAATTGTATCTGTGCTTAGAAACTACAAAAATGGCCGCTCGGGGTGGAGTTGAACCTGTGTCACCTGGATGGGGATCTGGATGGGGATGTGGATGGGGATGGGGGGGGGGCATTGCAGTTACGCTTTATATAGGCCACAAATTAATGATTTAGATGTAAAAATCAATTATTTGAAAACACGATATGTCCACTTTAAGTGAATGTATGTGTACTTAGAAGTTCATAAGTCTTACTTCTTAAGATAAGATAGACTCTTCCCACTCTATTTCAGGTCTCTATAGAGGTGAAGAAGAAATATGTATCTATGTATTTATGTCAAATAACTGAATCCTGTATGAACCTAAAAAAATGAATAAAAAATTATATTATATCATTCATTGAAATCCAGCAGAGGGCATGGTATGTCACAATAGCAGGCTCGCAGTTATGGCACACAGACAAGATGGTGGGCTGCAAACATTTTTGGAAGATTTGTCTTTAGTTACAGTCTTGTTATGATAATTTTCACATTGTGGTTTTTGCACATAAATGGCAGGAACTCATTAACATTTATGGGTTAATCCATCAAAAAGTGTGAGTCAGACCTCTCTGTAGGTCAGATCTCCTCTCTCTGGGTCAGACCTCCTCTCTGTAGGTCAGACCTCCTCTCTATGGGTCAGACCTCCTCTCTGTAGGTCAGACCTCCTCTCTGTAGGTCAGACCTCCTCTCTATGGGTCAGACCTCCTCTCTATGGGTCAGACCTCCTCTCTGTAGGTCAGACCTCCTCTCTAGGGGTTAGACCTCCTCTCTAGGGGTTAGACCTCCTCTCTCTGGGTCAGACCTCCTCTCTGTAGGTCAGACATCCTCTCTGTAGGTCAGACATCCTCTCTATGGGTTATACCTCCTCTCTCTGGGTCAGACCTCCTCTCTGTAGGTCAGACCTCCTCTCTAGGGGTTAGACCTCCTCTCTAGGGGTTAGACCTCCTCTCTAGGGGTTAGACCTCCTCTCTCTGGGTCAGACCTCCTCTCTGTAGGTCAGACATCCTCTCTGTAGGTCAGACATCCTCTCTATGGGTTATACCTCCTCTCTCTGGGTCAGACATCCTCTCTGTAGGTCAGACATCCTCTCTATGGGTTAGACCTCCTCTCTCTGGGTCAGACCTCCTCTCTGTAGGTCAGACCTCCTCTCTCTGGGTCAGACCTCCTCTCTGTAGGTCAGACCTCCTCTCTGTGGGTCAGACCTCACACTGTGGGGAATGGAGAGATATCAAGGAAATGTATGTATGCAGCCGATCTCTGATGATAGACTGCTTTGGTCTAACTTTCTGTAGCTCCGCCCCCTTGATTTGCATTTAATTTTCAAGACACAAGAAAGGAATAATGTATCGTGAAATAATAAAACATCAATAAAAAATAAAAATATAAAGAAAATAAATACAATGGTAAAGAAAAAAATGAGATTTTATTATTTCTTTGGGCACAAAACAGCAGATAAATAATAAAAATATATTTATTTTAATCTTGACCTTAGAACAAACAGGAAAATAATAAATCTTTATTATTTTGTTTGAAACCAATCTAACCTATAATAATACTATGTATTAAATCGCATGATTTGTTGTGTTATCTTAATAATTATTGGCAGAATGTGACATTTATTTATTTATTTATTTATTCATTTATTTATAAATTTGACAGTTTTGGTCCTCCATATGTTTTGATTTGTGTTTTTTCCTTTATTTTTTTAATTTTATTTTAACCTTGATGTTCACTTTATGGTCTTACCCTACTCCTGCTTACCTTACTCCATTCTCTGATCATCACATTATTTTACAAAATCTTTATTTTGCATTCCTTGTTGAGATTATTTGGGCAAAGCAAGTGACTTTATAATAATAACAGATTATATATTTTTTTAAATCTGTGTTTGCACAAATAGTGACTCTTTAAATCAAATTATGCCAGACGTATTTGTTTATTTGGTTGGGACAGTGTACAGTATATTAATGAACACACCTCAACGGATTGTAGTCTTGGGCTAATTTCCAACTATTGTACATGCAAACGCCACACAAAGCAGTCCTGAAGATGGAATCAAACCCAGGACCTTGTTGCTGCAAAGCATAGTCACCAACCACCGTGGGAGCTCTTGTTTTGTGGGTGACTTATTCTAATGCACACATATGCTATATAAAAAAAAAAAAATCACTGCATTGATTGTTTAGGGGCTGAAGGAATCCAGCTGAGGAAAAATTCAAACTTAATATTAGTACAGAAAATGATGACCTTGTTAATTTTCTGTCCTTCATTGGAGGTTTTTCACCTTAAAGGTGCTACAGAGTGCAATAAAACAGTGCCAGGATAGGCTGGATTAGGGCATGAGATTTTTAAGGAATTTGATGGGAAAAAAAGAGGATATTGGCATTAATAAATAATATTTGGGAAGCAGAACAGTTGCCAGCACCATGGAGACAAGCTACGGTGGCATCTATTCTCCAACCAGGTAAACTAGAGTCTGGGATCATACGGGCCAAAAGATTATGGAGAGAAGGGTAACGGATACACTAGTTTATTAGTTAAGAGTGTTTTCCGTGGTATGGTGCTTTCAGACCGCCAACACTGAAACGGTGAAGCCCTGCTCACCAGCCGCGCATTCTCTAGTTTTCAGGCGCAGGGGTCTTCAGATCGAGATGTCCTGACGCGCACCGGAAGTGCCGGAAGTAGCCGGCAGGCTACGATGCTAAAAGAGTTTAGCTAGCGGCTTCTTGTGTACAGATCTTCTCCAATATGCAGCTTTTCAGCGTGTCTGTGTTCAGAGACCTTCCACGGGCTTTATATAACAGCAGTATGTGTTCACGGAGGTGCGCCATATGTTTATTGTATTATGAAACGGTATTTCCGCATCGGCAAACACACTCAAAGCAGTTGCATAAGGTCACGAGAGCATGACAACGCATGACAAGCACAGAGTCCCCCATTGTCAACCCTGGATTGAGTTCTGGTGAAGCCTGGTGTGGGTCCTGTTTTGGCTGTTTATGAGTATTTTCAGTCTGCTCGCTCAGTCCGCTAATGTCCCCGTGACCACTTTGCAGCTCTCTGATTGGTTGTCGCACGAACGTCCCAAGGAAAGGATGAGCAGAATCCATCTCCTGTGGGCGTCGATTTTTCGCTCCTGCTCCTCCCCTTTGACTTTCCCGCCAAGTCCGTGCGTCTCTACTGAACAGTCTGTGCGTGCGTGCCGAGAGGTTGTGCGTTGTGACACTCGAACGCTCGTCACCATAGACTTTGCATTGAAAGCCGACGCAACGCATGATCCGGTCTGAAAGCACCATTAGTGTTGAAGTGTGAAGTGCGTGTTAAGAAGAAAATAATCTTAATTTATATAGCAAATTTTTAGAGACCAAGGTCACACCATCACCGTCCATTCACTCAGTTATTATATTCATACCTATTGTATGTGTGAGGACTTTTACAGGGACTTTTAACTATATTCCTCCTTCTGTGGAAAGAAACTCTGTAGACACGGTTTACTTTTCTTGTTTCATAAGAGATCTCTCGCGTCTGGTTCATTGATCCTTAAAAATCAAAATACCAAAATCACAGTAACTGAAACAACAGAAAAACTATCGCGGCTATACACACGAAAATGGCGTACAGCGCTTTGCTATCAGATATAGCCCAAATTTAACACTTTGCTGTAAGATTAAAAACTTTGGGGTCCTAACATATGGTTATGAGAATAAATTTTACTTACAAAGCCGAAAGTTTGCCTAAGGGGTCAACAATTGACCCAAAAGAATTTTACAAAAAACAAACCTAAACAAGAGCGCTTACTCTGCTCGGACAGGAAACTGTGTTTTATAGAGAAGATGTCTTACTTTGTTTCCCCTTATATTTTAGCACAACAAACCAAATATATTCTTATTTTCTCATGGGTGATGAAGGCGCTGCGGTTCCAAACACGTGGCCCTTCTCTGTTAAAGGACTTTTTATCAGAGTGCCCTCGGATTTCTCCCCTGTCTTCATTTCCCCATGGAAAAAAGGAATCTTTGTTTTTTTTAAATTTAAATTATTACATAGCATTTAGAAGTGTTGCATTTTTAAAACTTATAAATGATTGAATTAAGTCTTTCATCTTGTAAATCATGGGACACTATATTACAAAATAATCATATATGCTGGTGCTATCAGCATTATTTTGTTGTGGTAAAAAATGTTTGGTGAGGTTATCAAAAGTAATAAACATACAGAACTTGTCATAATAAAAATCTGGTTGGTTCAAATGTTTTGCTCCCTAAACAAAGATACACGATTACCATGATATTCAATGCTAAAGAAAAAATTATTAAATAGTGTATCGATAAGACTTAGACGGCCAAAATCACTTGGTGTTTTACACTTCCAACCACTCAGCATTTTACTTGACCATAGTTAATACAATGATTTACCGACTCACCTATGTTGTCTCATTTGGAGACACCGTTTAAACTCACACACACTACTATAGTATTTTACATAAAATGACCAGAAGGAAAATATATCGTGATTCAGCAAATCCGGTTTTTGAGTGCTTGGTGTTAAAATTGTATGTTTTAGTGGCTTATACTTTTTATCATACATTGTATTACGGTAATTTGAAACACTTAGCGAAAACATCTACGAAACCCAACGTCAGCATTACTGACCTTAGATTACTAGAAAGATTATACCGACCACACTTATGGTTGTCAAAATTTTTGGAGACATCGTTTAACACAGCATATTTGTTAAAAAAAGACCAGAAGGAAAATATATCGAGATTCATCAAATCCTGTTTTTTGAGTCCTTGGTGTTTTAAATTATATGTTATAGTGGAGTATACTATTTCATCCTCTACATTGTAAAGGTAAATTGCAAAACATTAGCAGAAAACATCTACGAGAACTTTGGAAAAAAGACAAAGTCGTACAATCTGTAACTGATATCTTTAAATAAAAACTAGATTCAGAACCTAAGAGTATGGGATTGAATGGTTCTCTGGAAGGAATCAACACTTAACAAAAGACATTTTAAAGTAGTCAAAATACAAAATCTTGGTTTTTAAGAATCAACAAAACTACTCTATACTCAATAAATGACGAGAGTGTTACAGAATAAGAAAATCTGGATTTTAATTAATTGGTTTGTGTTTTGGTAAAATGTAGTTCATAATGTTTAATTACTGGTTTGTGTTTAGGATAAAATGTTGTACATAATGTTTATGGTTATGTAATATTGGTTGTTTAATCAGTCTTTAAGATGACTATTTATGGTTAACAAGCTAGTCAATTGTATATTGATGAGATGTTACGCTTTAAATAATTTGATCTCGGCGTAAAGAAAAACCTGTACAAGGGACCCTAGTTTCACATTACACTACTCTGGTTTCAAACAGTGTACATATTGTATATAGGGTTCTTATTTTTATTGTATTGGACAATTAAATGATATAGGAGACTACTACTTATGAATAGGGTTAGGATTATAAAGCATTAATTTACGATGATAACGCGACTAAAAATATATGTGTTTTTGCTACCACGGAACCTTTGTATCAGGTGAGTTTCACACGGATGTTCATACGGTTGTACCAGTTGGAAAATAACAACTTCCCCTTTTGTTTTTATGTGCAACACTCTGGGCCATGGATAAGGGTTATCACACATACACACACACACACCCCTAAGTGTCGCTCTTCAGTGTTTGGATGCCCAGTACCTATTGTTACAGAAAAAATAAAAAAACACCTATACAATACAATACACATTTATGTCTTGTTATTAGCCCTAAATCACAACTATAGTCATTCAGAGGACTTACAAACTACTGAAAATCACCAACACAGATCGGAGGAATCAGCAGTTAAAAACACATAAAGACTATAGCCGACTACTGTTGTAGAATAATAAAAGTGTCCTGGCTACATCACCACCAGTCCTTCTTGTCGTCTCAATAAAACTGTGTAACAAACCCATCCTGGATCAGCAAGGAAAAACTCATATGAAAAAAAAAAAGTATTGAGAAAGGGATCTGCTTCACTCTAGTGATTCTTTATAGTCCTCCCACGCTCCTTCATCATGATTCGCCTACACTGTTTGTTATACGTTGATAGGCGTTGGGGCAGGTCCATCCCTACCACCATTCTGATTTGTTGTTCGTACTCCTCCAAAACCGTCATATGATAAGGCTCTCACACACATACACTAAGTGTCAGTTCAAAGGGAGGACCTGTAGGATTAATTTGCTTTATTGACTGTCATTACTAAACTGTTTGTTTAGGAATAAACATGTGCTAGTTATAACCGTGATCATAATTCACTTTTGGACTACTGTGAAGCATTTACTCTATCACACACACACAGGGTCAACAGGAAGCTAAACTCTTTACATATTCAAAACTCTTTGAAAATACCGGACAGTAACATCTTTCACCACTTGCGCAAGAGCGCCGTCACCTTTTCTGGGGAGTTTTAGGGTGCAGTACCTCCTTTTCACCACTTGCTCAATAGCGCCGTCAATATATCTACGAAGTGAGAAGATAGCTGTAATAAAGCAAAAGATGGCATTGTTCCCAAGTGTGATTCACGGTGCTTGTAGAAAAAGTTTATAATTCTCCACCTGCATGGTTCCATTATGATGGTAATTTATGTCTGTTAAGTACACCCCTCGAAAAGTTTAATTCACTATAGACTTTAGCTATTGGCTGTTTGACATGATATTTATGTTGTGTTACACTCGACAGCCGCACGTTTGTCTTGTGTCCAAACCTCCTGATTGACGGGGACCAACTCCACGCTCGCTGCTTAAAGATGAGTGAAGGAAGAAGGGACTGCTAATGTTGAAAGGAGAGGCTAAATTAGGGACTACATTAAATAGCCGTTCACCTTGATACAGAGGCAATTTCTCTGCAAGCCGCTATAAACATACCAGAAACTTATTGCTCCATTTATCTCTTTTTTATTGTTATTATTTGTGGACTGAGGAATTTAGGGACATCTCATGAATAATGATAATATTCCAAAATCTCAGGTTGGCATTGGGACTGTTGTTTAGGCTTGTACCCTTAACCACAAGGCACTAAGCTCACCGGGTTTGATATATATACTTTATTTGACCTTTGAATTCATAGTAATCAGCCCGGTTTATAACCTAAAGGGGGTTTTATTTTTATTACAAGACTGAATTTAATTAACTTTTCGGGCGACCCGGCCATTGACACGAAACAAGCACACAGGGGGGCGGGTATTTAAATCAGACTTGTTTTCTCTTCTACCCGAAGCTGAAAACACACGTGAGTATGGCTCTCCGTTTTCAAATGGCATATATTTCGATTGTTTTAACGTTCTATCAGCAAAATTCATCCTGTGATTTGATAGGGGCTTAGATACATCGATATGTAGTGAAACAAACGCTGTGTAAACGACTTTTTAGTAAAAGTCGTTTACAGCTGGCGTGTGAGATGGACCAACATGCTATGTAACGCTACCAACAGTGATTCATTTTAAATATATAGTACTTTTTCAGTGAAGTGCATGCATAGGGATATTATTAAGTTTGACCCATAAGTTTGACCGCGTTTTCCTTGAAGCAACCGAGCGCGTTGATTTGGACTTAATGGTGCAAGCACTTAATGGTGCAAGCACTTAATGGTGCAAGCACTTAATGGTGCAAGCACTTACCTGGTGCAAGCACTAAATTCTATACAATATGAAATTACTTATTCAACTTTGTACCAACTCCTGGGTTCGAAATTAGATTTTGGGGAAAATGTTACGTACACGCGTAATGCATGAATGAATACGTGGTCATAATCCCTCCAGAAATGTATTAAGTTTCTCATATTTGCTCGTGGAAAGATAGTAACATTATTTACTAGTAGAAAAGAGAAATTACTTTTCATTTATGTGTGTGGGTTCTCATGCATGTAGCCTCATTATTAATAATTTTACATATGGTCTTATCTCTTGATTTCTAATGGTGAAAGTAATTTAATACCAATACAAAGTCAGAGATTTCCATAATTTAAATATGATAATTTTGTGTGGGTTTTTTTCAAACAGTATTTGACGTTATTACTTGGTAGTCATTTAACAACGTCTTCCCTTTTTCTCCCCAGACCCATCCTTGAGCCTTTATCTTTCGATATCTAATGGTGAAAGGAATTCAATACTTATACAAATTCAGAGATTTCCATCATTTTTCAAGTAAGATATTTTAGTGTGGGTTTTGATCTGTTTTTGATGTTATTATTTGGTAGTCATGTAACAACGTTTTCTCTTTCTCTCCCCAGACCCATCCTTGCACTTTTTGTTCACTTCCTCATTTACATCTACTTTTGATTAATAATCAAAATGGAGCATAAATGGGATGAAATGTTTCTCCTCCTCACAGAGAACATTTATCCTGAGGGAATGAATAAATTTCAAAGAGACAACTGGAGGAAGTACTCCCTTAAGTTTACAGTAAAGGGTAATAATGCATTTGCTAGTATGGTTATACATGTCTTATTCTTCTTCTGTTGTTTTCATATAAATTATTTTTTTATAGATGGTGAGCTGTTCTATGGCAAAAGAAGAGCCATTAAAACCAGACATGAGGCGCAGAAACTATTTCAAGAGTTTCATGCTACGCCCATGGGAGGCCACACTGGGATGAAAAAAACCCGACATGCCATTTGTTCCAGGTTTTACTGGCGTGGCATGACTGTGATGATTGACAATTGGGTATGTGATATTATTTGTCTGTACAATTCCCTTCCCTAAAGCCTGTTCGTTTTAAGATTGCTGAGTGTGACCAATGTCAACGTGAGGGAAAGACTCTGGGTACAGTTGCACCACTCCAAACAATAAAGGTAATTGTATTGTTACTATTCAACCACCAATGTACATTTATGCATTACAATCCTGTTGGCATGTTAGGTGTCTGCTGTTTGGGAGCTGCTGGGGATTGACCTAACTGGGCCCTTCCCCAAAACTACTGATGGCTATCAGTACATATTTACAGCCACTGATTATTTTTCAAAGTGGGTAGAGGCTTTCCCATTGAAAACCAAGACGGCTGCGGAGGTTGGGCAAAGACTTTGCTCTATAATATACAGGCATGGGTGCCCGAAACGGATCCTGTCTGATCAAGGGCGGGATTTTGTAAATGAGGTGAATATTGCTTTTTGTAGTTGTTACTTTTTTTTGTTCATACTTTCTTATTCATTTAATTTTCATTGTTTTAGCTCAATGATTCTCTGTGCTCTCTGCTGGGCATTGAGAGAAGCGTCACCGCTGCGTACCACCCACAGACTAATGGGTTGGACGAAAAGACCAACCACAACATCAAGAGGCAAGAAAGATATGTATAATTTAATTATGTGAAGCACACATTAAATATATGACTGATGGCAAACCCTACATGTTTTAATTTCCCCCATTTAAACAATGTTCGGAATGTCTTTCTCAGAGCTTTGATGAAGTTGGTGAATGAGCAGCAGAACAACTGGGACACATTCCTTGATGCCACACTGTTCTCTTTGAGGTCAAAGGTGCACATCTCAACCAAACACACCCCATTCCAGTTGATGTATGGGCGGGAGGCTGTGTTCCCCTCAGAGGTGCCTGTAGATTATCCTGTAAGTTCCATTCGTTCAATTGTTGGGTTACACAGAGGGGGAAGAAGCTGGACAAGGTCATCAGTAAGTTCAGCTCAGTCATGGGCTGTTCCCAGTGCAGCAGGTGGGGGACCATGACTGTCACCCCCTGCAGGACACTCTGCTCTGGAGAGCAGCTTCAGTGAGAGCTATTCATCCTCTATGTGTGAAGAAGAGGTTGCACAGGTCTTTCCTTCCTGCCGCTGTCAGACTGTACTGTGAGAACTGCTGAGCCTGTACATGTCATCTCGTCTGTAAATAAGTAGTAAGTAAATACTGTAACAATCACATTTTCCCACTGTGGGACAAATTATACCTTATTTTATTTAGGAGACAATCATGGCACTTTCTTGACCCACCAATCAAAAACAAGTGGAGGAAAAATCAAGAGGCTTTTGGAGGATTTGAAGAAGGGAAAAATAGCAGATTCACCAGGTAGGGATAGTAATGTCAGTAATATTTGTTACTTTGCATCTAACGTTTTTCCAATGCTTTTAGGACACTGCCAAATGTGACAGCTACACACCAATGGAACTTGAGAGTGAGAAGGCGCTTGACATACAAACAGAACAGGTATGTCTAGTAGTAAATATTACAATTTATTGTATTTTCATTATAAATTAAAACTTTTGTGTTTCCTTAGAGCAATGAGGTAGGAGGGAGTTTTTACATGGAAAAAGTCTTGAAGCGGACTATAGTGTCACTGATTGTCACACGCAAGTCAAAACATTTCTCTTGTAACCAAATTCATTGTTTTCTCAGGGTATGCCCCATTGTACAAAGAAGAGCTAAATGAACAACTGATTGCCTAAAGATGTGCAGAAACCCGTCTCCGAGCACCAGACATCACAGCTGAAGCGTTATTCTTTGTAATAATTAAGAATACAAATCCTGTTAACATTGAAACTTTTTTTTGCAGGCTTTTTTGGGCAGGAATGCACTTGAATGAAAATGTCAAACGTGGGCAAGATTCTTCAAAGGGGCAGTCTTTATTCAAAGTTCCAACCCAAAGTACAACAAAGGAAAGCAAACAGCAAAGCCAACACTTGGTAAAGAAATAATACTGTACAAACATTACAGTACAATAACTTAATAATATATTATTACAGAGGCTGACCAGGACAGAAAGCCAACGCACTGGCCTTCAGGATCTGTGAACTCTTCGCGTATCCTGAGCACATCACATGCAGGAATGACCTGGCTCCCAGTCGTCCCGAGCACCAGCTAACCAACTCCACAAATCTGAGACTCCTGTGGAATTGGACACGTATGTTAATTATTGTAATTTGCTGTTTGCGTAGTGTACTGAAATGTTTTGTCCCTTTGTCTGTTTCATGGTGTGACGACGAGACCATTTGCACCTGCTGACTGTCCTCCTTCAGCCCGACTCGTGGGCTGCACCCCTGCCTGGGAGCTGCCTCAGTCCTCGTTCTGCTGCCCCAGTCCCGCCCTGCGCCCTGGTCCATGTTCTGTAGCTTAGGTTCTGGATCTAAAGCCTGTCCGTCCGTGAGGAGCGGATCCCTTTCTCAATGTGGTCTCCCTCAAGGTTTCTCACTTTTTTCCCACTGGGTTTTAGAGTTTTTCCTTGCCGATGTAGGAGGGTCTGTTAGACAGTTAAGTGTCTAACAAAAGGACTGGTGATGATCCAGGACACTTTATCATTCTACAACATGTATGGACATTTTTTTCTCCTTATGGATCAATGGTTCTGTGTTGTTTTGCATTTCATGTGTTTAAGTGTTCCTCTCAGATTTGTGTTTTGAAAGATATACAATGTATTGTGTGCTTTGGATGTGCCTGATATTTGTTAAATGAATTGATTTCTGAAAATGAAGTCTCCACGCTCTTTCAACATTATCAATATATTTATTTGACAGGGACAATGCAGACACAGTCATAAACAAAGCTTGCAGCTGATGTGATGAATGTAGTTTATAGCAGATGCCAATTCACAACTCCTGTCCCTGGTTGGGCCTAACCAATCAAAGTCAATACAATTCCTACATTTCTAAAAATACACTTAGTTTACAGCCTACAGACTTGATTGATCCACACAAAAAAACTACAAACGTGTTTTCTCTTGTATTTAAAGCTTGACATCAATGCGGGAACTTTACATCCTTCAGCAGGAAAATCTACACAAATTCAATTCAATACCACAGCCCATTTTTTATGCACAACCTAACATAAAACCCATGAAAAAACCTTTGATTGGTTCCAATTTAAATGTTACTCACCAGTGTTGTTCATTTCTTTAATAGAAAGGATGCACCCGATCTTTCATCTGGGAAACTAGTCAAAATTCATCAATCCACGAATGAATTACATTTCAAAGGACAACATGGCCATGGCATGTAATCTCTGTGGTTACTGGTGATAATAATCCTGTGGTTGTTGTCATGGATCAGCTGCAGCAGAGTCTTGACAGTAAAAGTTGCACTATATATCCAAATGGCCATATTTTTTTTTTTGCAACTTCGAATTCATCCCATGAAAATTATTAACTGAACTGACAGAAAAGTGTGCAGTCCACAAGCTGTGCTGCTGCAGGTGATCGCTGCATTAAATTAAATTTATTATTTCCATTATCAACATTCATCCAGTTGTAAGCTGTAGAGTTGCCACAGGACGCTTCATCAGCCTACGTCAGCTGCCAGGACTGCTATCATAACATAAGCATAGTGGTTTCATAGGTGCAGTTGACTGCTTAAACTAAACTTTACCCGAAAGTTTGACTCTTAAAACCCACATGTGCCAACACGGAACCATCAACATCTCGCCTCAAATTGCATTAAAAGTGACATTCGTGTCTTATTTCGTTCGTATTATAACTTTTAAAGGAATTCACGGACTTTCTGTCCGCCATCTTGGTTTGTTTCGGCTGCCGTGAGACGCGCATGCGCGCAGGTTTGCATTACATCATTAACAGCTGAGCATTACATAAGCGTCACTTTTTGGCAGAGCGTTACAACTCGGCAGAACACCGGCACAAAATGAAGATCCTGGTCGTTTGTTCTTCCTCTGATGAAGAACCTGTGGATGTCTCTATTGTTCTCGACAGCAAGGAGATTGTGACTGGATGTGGAAATACTGCAAAGGCATGTGCACTGCTAATGGGTCTAATATATTCCCTCAATCTTGCTTATCCTACAACACTACGATACACCTTCGAAGTATTTCAGAAGATTTTCTTACATTTAGATGCATTTAAGCCATCCCCGAAAATACAAACACTGAAAGTCAAGCTACTGTCCAAAACATAAGAGAAGCAATTTTGTTCAGCATAAGAGAAAAGGCCACAGATTTTATATAATTTGATGTTGTTACTTTAGCTTAGACTCTAGCTTAGACTAGAATATGAAAATTAGTCATTAAAACATGGACATGTTAAATTAATTGACTATTCTTGAATCTAGTAACTCCTCATGTAACAGTGTTTTTAATTAGGGAAAATGTGAAAGAGCTCGGCCACTTCTAAAATTACCTCGGTCTGGAGCCATTGAGATTTACTGCGAGAGGCTAATGCTACAACATCCTGGTCTTTAGCTGAACAGAGGCTCAAAGACCAGGCAGGTGCATCATCTCATCTAAGCTAATGACATTTAATTATAGAAAATCAATGGCCTATCTCTATACCATTCCCATTGCATCCTTTTTGTGATAATTAAGTTTTCTGTTGTCATGTGTTCTGCTTTTAAGGTCAGCTTTAGTTCATCTTTTAGTTTTCATTGTTGATGTGTGAACTTAAAAGTTTGTCAATAAAACAGGTTGTTAAATGTTGATATTTGCATATTGTTTTTTCTTATTAATTCAATAATAATGTAATTGTTACACACATATAGTACTTAATAAGTATTATTGCAATGATATGAAATATACTGATAAAATATAAATAACATTTATTCAAGTTATCCATTATTGTAAATGATCTGTACACATAATGGTTACTCAGTATATCTATTTCACACATAAATAACCTAAAAAAAATCACATAAACCTTACTTGATTATTTTATGTGATCAAGTAAAAAAAATCACATTTGTTAAGTAAGGTTTACTTACAAATAACATTCAGATTATACTTGATGAAATAAAAAGTTTTACTTGATTTATAGTAGTAATCTTTAATTATATCTTCGTGCAAATACTTACGAGGATTTTTTTAAGTAAATGTTAATCACGATTTTTTTCAGTGTATAACGTAAACTTTTGCATCACGTTGGTGATCTTTCCAAAAAGAGAGAATATCGTTATGGAAAGAGAAACTATTGGTAATATAACGCTGAACGTTATTTGACTCAAACAGCTTGGAACAATTGGATTACAAAATTTGGACATCATTTGGAACAATCTGGATTTCTGAATTTGGACATCATTTGGAACAATCTGGATTTCTGAATTTGGACATAATTTGGACTGAATTGAATTACTGAATCTGGACACTAAAGCTGAAACGTGCGATTGAAAGACACGTCACAGAAGAATTCATGGCTTGACACAAATGCAGCCTGAAGAAATCAACACGGAGAAGTGGGAGAGACTGTTTTCAAAGCAATATCTGAGAACCATTGACTGATGAAGTTTGGTATTTTACTGAAGATTGTTGACAAGTTTTATGAAAGATCTGAAAATGTTTTATGAGAGTTTTCTGAGTTTTTTGAAGTACCGAGTGAAGTACCGAGTTTAAGTATTGAGTTATGTATGTTTGTTCTACGTAAATACTGTATGTGTGCTATTTTTGTTGCACAATGCTGTAGAATTGCAAAGAGCATATGCAGTAAATATGTGAAAGACATACAGTACATACATATATATCTCACTAAATACAGTCACAATGAAAACATGACTAAATCATTTGACTGTTGTTCATAAACACTGGTGTCAGGACACAGACACAGACCGTTTCATTGACATGAAGACTTTCTTTTGAGGAATTAAGTTCATTTTGAGGAAGTGACTTTTTAGCAAGTTATCCATGAGGTTTTGCCGATTGCACTAATTGTTCTGAGAAATGCACAAACTGATTACAAAATATATACTGTGCATTCTCAGGGGACACACTGCCATGGCATCTCTTCTGCATTGTCCACATGTGTACTGTATCTGTGGACTACTGTAGTACTCTCTTGGAGCTCTCCCTCCCCCGCACGAATAAACAAAGCCCACCCCAGGCCCCTGCTGTTATAAGTCATTACCTAAATTTGCAAATCAATACATGCAAATGTTAGCAGCCAACCTAGCATAGTGTGTATCATCTATGGTATTAAGCAACTTTTGTTAAAGTTAAACTCATCATTCTATCAATGTGCAGAAGCCAGTACTTTTCCCTTGTTTTGTCTATCTGAAGGCCAAGCTACATGCACAACGTGGAAGCTGCTGATTGGAGGTCTCCATGCCTCCGCTCTGTATAATACACTTGTATTCTGTTGTATCTGTTGTTCGTGCTGTCTCTACCATCGACAATAAAACATGTCTTCTGTCTGAATTTAAGACGCGATCCCAGACTTTGTCATCTTCTTCAGGTGGTGGAGAATGCGGGCATTGTCTGTAACATCTAGAGAACAGAAGACTACTTTTTTTTTACACAAAAATGTGTTTTTTTTTTAAAGCCAAAACTGAGAAACCTCAAGAGAAACCATGCGTCTGGACCAGCACACTTGGACAATCTGCACAGCCCCTGATTCCACTCCGGCTGTGAGCTGCTGAGACATGGACAACACCATCGTCCTCTTTTGCATGGACATCATTTGGAACAATTGGATTACACAATTTGGACATAATTTGGACTGAATTGAATTGCTGAATCTGGACACTGAAGCTGAAACGTGTGATTGAAAGACACGTCACAGAAGAATTCATGGCTCGACACAAATGCAGCCTGAAGAAACCAACACAGAGAAGTGGGAGAGACTGTTTTCAAAGCAATATCTGGAACCACATCGACTGATGAAGTTTGGTATTTTACTGAAGATTGTTGACAAGTTTTATGAAAGATCTGAACATGTTTTATGAGTTTTCTGAGTTTTTGAAGTATTCCGAGTTCTGAGTTTTTTGAAGTACCGAGTGAAGTACCGAGTTTGAGTTTTTAAAGTATTGAGTTATGATGTTATGTTGCTGTTTATCGATCCTGATGGTCACAGGTGAATGTGTGACCAGAGGGGGGAATGTGAGATTTCATAACACTTTTAAACAACTTTTGTTAAAGTTAAACTCATCATTCTATCAATGT